ATTGTATATATATTAGTGAGTGTCGGTACTAAAACTGTTAACGCACAATTATATATATGAAATAAAGGAACCAGTGATTCGTGGTTTGAAATGTTTGAATTGACATTCAGTTTATTGAATATAAAACCTTGAATATAAGAGACAAAGGGTTGAAAGGGAAACATTTTTTCTCTACAATCGCACCTTCATGTTACAAAGGCGATGCACTTATAAGTACATTGCTTCGTGTTTGTCTTCTGAGAAATGTCTGACCTGCTTTGCTTTATATATTTGCATATCGAAAAAAACAGGGGTTGCCTCTTAAAAAGTCATTCTAATGACTTCATAGTCGTCAATATTCCTGTACTTATTAAACAACTAGAATAATTCACTTAGCCGCCCGTCTAGAAATCAAGGACCTGTTCTATATATCACGTGTAAATCTTTGTTTATAGCTTTGTTTTATTGAATTTCAGTCTCTGATTTGTTTGTTGGTACATGCATACCTTGTTGTTTCAATAGCATGTAATGCAATACCCTGAAACGACCACTGTTGTAACATTTGTGCATTTTCGACCTTTCTTTTAAAATAAGATCTACCTGTCCTACAATATAAAAAAGCAGAAGTAATTGTACCTTTTGTTGTAAAGGAAGTGTTTCCGTTTTGCCTTATCTTGGAATTTATGTATGGTGTTTAATTATTTGTCTGTATTGTACCCAATGCTAAATTTGTGTTGACAGAAGTTATTCACTTATTTATGGAAATCCTTATAACAGATTCCCTACCACTTCTTTAAAGTCACCATTGTCCTTTACGATTTCACAGATGGTAACTGATGGAAATATATCGTAACCCACTAGTATACTCCTACAATAGTTTACAATAGTGAGGTGGTACAGTGCCCTTCCGTTTAATATTCTAGGACAACTGGGTACCTGGATCGGAAATTCTTTTTATTTATTTATTTTTTTTTTTTTACAAGTTTCTATGTCCGCGTTTTTCTCAAACACTACAAAACAGCGCATATTAAGCCAAAAGCTGAGATGTAGAATGTTTAATTGACAATAGCAGTGCCGTAGGTTGTGATACAATTTTTGAACAGGCTCTATTGGCGCACTCATTTAGCCTTCTTCTCAAATGTGGATTTCTTTTTTATCGAACAGTCTGTCACGAAAAATAACCATTGCCAAATACCTTATCTTCACTTTTACCTGAAGTCTTATCTTTAACTGAGAACACGTTTGCTGCCCATGGCTATCTGATATACTCTCCAGACCTGGAAATCGGAGACTCGACAAACTTCTTTACATCAGTTGCTTACCAATATATTGACATACAGCGCGACCAATACCGACAGTTTTCAAACTTAGTAGTATGGTAACTGTGATTATTTCAATTTTTCTACAGTGATTTTTCCCATTGCTTAGCGGTACTATATCCCTGTTTCTTCAACATATGGTTTTGATTTAAAGTTAACTGTGGTATGACTGAGTGAGGATCGCCGTCAACTCAAAGTTTCTTATTCTAAAAATCCATCCTTATATTGGCAATTATTTGCTGTATTTTAATATACTCGTGCGATATTTAGACCTGGATATTTCGATATTGCAGACATAATGATAAATTCCGGAACAGGTTTATTGACGTTCATTATCTAGCTGTGGTACAATACACTATTATGATGACTCATACATTGAATTAGTTTCCTGGCAATTGTCCATCGCAACAAGGCCGAATCTTGACCATTCCCTATACTATCAAAAACCCCAATTCTTAATTACCTTTTTCTCCCCTAAAAGAAATGTTCATTTCTGCTTTTGATAAATTGTCTACTACTTAATACACTGCATTTTTTAAGAAATAATCTTGCGGAGTTTTTTTCCCGTTTATCATTTTATTTCACTTCCATCATTTTATTTATAGTAATGTTCTTTTTCCTCAACTCATTTAATATTCAGTTGTTACGGAGGTATGTTCCTGTTGACCACGGTACATAACCCCCTCGGTCTAAATTCTCATATTTCGGAATGTTTCGGACCATTAGATCAACTGCCAAACAAACTAATTGGATTTGCTTTGTACACACGGCCTACACCGGGCTGTCTTAACAATCGAGAACAAAGCTCTTTCTTAGATGCAGTTTTCAGCATTACAAGGAAAGTTGAAAGCTCTGCAATATCGGAGAAAAGTTACGGGTACACTGACCCACCTTTTACAAATTATAGGGTCATTTGCTGTGATGGTTTAGTGTGTTGTTAATGGATCGTTGACTCCTGGAGTAAATTATTCGATAATGATGCCTTTGTCTAAGTGCTTGAAAGTAAGTCAATATGAGGGAATGACACCGCGGTGATCGGCGCTGGAAATTCACTCATAGGTTTGGTCTTTATTGTTTCGGTATATAAAGTGAAAACACCAGCAGGACCTCGTCATGTAAAATTATTGACTTTGAAATTCACCGTCCGCCGAATATCATAGCACAAAGAATATTTTAACTAGATTATAGAGATTAAAGTCAACGAAAAAGAGAGATAACAGCGGAACGTGTACTTTCTCTTTGAAACCATTCAAACTAGATGTACCGTGAATGCATGTGATTATGTCAAAGACGACTCAATCTTCATCTGGGAATGATGTGTCCGGGGTGACAAAATCAATTATCAGGACGTGAATTAGGATACGGAATAGACGTATCTAAAATCATTTTGCTTCTCTTTGATGTTATTTTTATTGTTGTATACATCAATACATTTTACAGCTCGTAACAGCATTAGCAATAATATGTCTACTGAATTCTTCATTACCTCGCACTGTAAATAAAGGTCACATGTACAAACAGGGTCGATATCTTTTAAAAACAAGACACGACAAAAAGGGAGATATCCGTCCATATTCCAAATTAGGCGTCAAAGGGAAGTTTTCTAATAAAACGTATATATTCTTCAAAACAACAATACAAGATAACTATCAAAAGAAAGCCATCACTCAGAAGTAGACATATATTAAAAGGAAGATGTGTGTATAGACACTCGTTCAAAGGTAAAATGCCTTCACAAGGAATTGATCTGTCAATTCTAAATATCCTTCAGATGAAAGTTGATTGTTAAATTTGTATATTATATTTGAAATGTTTCTCTCAAAAGTGGTATATCTGTCAAAAAAGATATTGGTCGAAAGGTAAATATCACGTAAGAGACATATATCTATTAAAAGTCAATTAACTTTCAATAGAAATGGAAATGTCCTTCAAAAGTAAGAAAACGACCGAATGGTAAATATCTACGGAATCGTACACTGGCTTTCATTCACACACACGGCGCACGCACGCACGCACCCTGACACACAAACACACATACACCCCCCCCCCCCCCCCCACACACACACACACACGAATATACACACATGAATATGAATATATTTAGATAAATTTAGAAATGGAAATTAACTAAATATATATTATCTTGAATGTCGAGTTATAGATTGATGATGATGATGATTTGAAATACTTTTTCTTAAAGGAAAATTCATTACGCGATCGGATCTCAATGTCTCCTCTCCTACCGCCAGAACTTTGTACTATATCTAAATATACCTATTCAAAATATTCTATAGAAATTTTAGCAGTAACAGCTGACCTTAACTTCAATGCCTTAACTAGCAAGGAATACAGGATACTAGGCAAGAACCGGGTCTCGGCATGGAATGAAGTCAATGGTATATTCACGCCTCAGTATGTCACATCAGCGAAAAAGGACAGAGAGGAAAAGAAAGATGAGATTGGTGCTTGATACTGTTATCTTGTCCACGTTTTGTTCTAGTAAAATACCATAACAATGAGCAATACTCTGTTGTATTTGAGCCATGAGGTGCTTTCTTATAGATTTCAGATTTACGGAAATCATTTTCCCCAAGAAATATTGTGCATCAACAAGTCCCAAACGGTTTTTGATGTTGAACCAATCAGTGTTAACAATTAATGCATTAATCGACCATTTTAAACAACATTTTCTATTGGATTGTCTCACGTAAATGTACTTATTTTTTCAGTACCTTTTCACAGACCAGATTTTAATCAATTCTTAGGACAGAAACGATCTGCATTAGAGTTTCAGGGATACAGTAGTCATCTACATAATTAATATTGCCACGAATATCTTCATTAAGCATTGACGGAAATGTATATACATATACTCTTCTGTTATTCATTGCAGTACCTCCAGTCACTGCATTGATTACTTGACTTGAACTGGTCACCAAAGGTGAACTGATGCTTCGGCTTGGTCAAGTAAACATAGCTGTCTGGACATCATTTTCAAGGCACCACTTCCCAAACAACAGGTTTCAGATTTCAGACGAGCAGTCAAAAACGTCGGACATATTCTATGAATATGTTTAAGGTCTAAATGTTCTGTCAGCTGTGTCGTGATTCAAAGTGTTTACATACATTTGATAAGCATGGCGACTAAAAAAATACGTCATAAAAATATACCATCAGTGGCTTTCTTCAGACTTCATTTCTTTCAGACCTACTGAGCCAACCCTAGGACTTTCAAGTTTAGCAAGGACACGTGTCAATGGTTTAAAAAAACTTTAAACTTGTTTTCCCAACTCGTATGCAAAATATGTATACGTAATATTGATGAATATTAACAAAGCACAATAAGATTCTTTCTTTATTTCTTGATAGGAGTCAAATACCTAACCTCCCGTTATCACAGTCTTTTTTTTAATCTGTTTCCAGCAAATGAAAATGCTTCATCCTGACAATTCAGATTTGCGCTTGGAACATACGTTTTGACATACAATTAAGTATTTAGATACTCTTTTGTGGAAAAAGCAAGAATGAATACTTAAATCAAAAAGATATTTTTTTAAAAAAAAAAAGGAGAGATAATATGTGTCCTTACTGCGAGTCGAACCCTATCTTAAGTGTAGGAAGTTCGTTATTCGGAATACCTCTGATGTTATGTATTGGCGTCGAGGACAAGTGAAATCGCTAGCAGCGGTAGTCCTGCCCATCAGAAATGGATCACAATGAAAAGGCTGGAAGTAAAGATATTTTGGGAAGACTCTCAGATTTAGAACTCAGTGAACTTAAAGATACTGTCACGAGGAAGCAAATATCGGCTTATGGACGTAAAGGTAGTAGAAAGTGTACCACGTCAGGCTAAGAATCTATGCACAGTGAAAGTGAAAGTAACAAGCTCTATTCACAGAAAATGTACTTATCCAGTGAATGATGTACGTTACATTCATTTTATATCAATGTTTGCACGGGTGTGTATTTGGGTAAAGACAGTTACGTATACACTGATTGCTCTGTTTCCCCAAGTTGGATACAACCCCTCACATTGGTAATATTACAGCATTTTAGTGGGATATTCCTTTGCAGATGATTTGAAGAACTTCACGTGCTTATATGAAGAATATTTCATAAAAATATCATTTACCCCCAAGCGAGACTCAAACTATTGACCTCCCACAATCTAAGCCAACACTTCAACTTGGCTAAAGAGAAATTCTCTGTAGTTGAGACCCATACTTCACTTATGTAGTTCTTCTGTTTAAACTGAAGAAATAACAGACATCATCAGAATGGAACAACAGAGCATTTTCTGTGATGATAAGATGACATAATTTGCCACCAAACTGACCTTGTTAGGTCATCTCTTTGTATGTTGTCTTAGATAAGTTAAATAATTTTGGATTCTGTGGATGCCCTGCTAAACTTTTTATATCTTCATAAGATGGACATCATTAAAGTAATATATCTGAAAGGTAAATGTAACTATGGAATGGTTGTCATATTGTGTCATCTATTGTTTATGAATGGAGTCAGCAAGATTACATTCATATTGCAAAATAAAACACAAAAAGGAACACTACTTAACATTTTGTTAGAAAAATAATAAAAATTCTATTTCGCAAAAAAGCAGATTGTGACCTCTCAGAGCTGGTTGTCTATTAGGTTTGTAGGTTGCTTTACATTTATACAGTTCATTAAGCGTTTTAAAAACAAAGTAGACATTTTAAAAATTCTTTTTAAGTAGTTTTTATTTCGAAGATAATTGGGAAACTGTGGTTATGAAACCTTTCAGTTCAGGCAATGTCTTTGTAGTGGTGATAATCATTGACAGTGGATCCTAACTCCAGTGTAGTGGCAGACATACAACCCGTTAAATAAATAAGGAGTATATGTCCCATTTCTGTAGGGTTTTTATAACAATGATAATGATTTTGATTCTTTTTTCCAGAATGCATCAGTGCTATTGTGTCATACAGTGAGTCTGCTCTTGAACTTCTGCACAGAAAGAAACTCAAGCGAGATGTCCTGTTCCAGTACCTATTTGACAATAATGTTGTAGTACCTATCAATGCTTCAAAAGACATGCTTATTTACTCTATAATAGAGCTTTGGAAATCACGAAATCAGCAAAAGAAACAGGTATCAACTATAGTTGTCCATTTGTATCAGTTAATACTGTCTTACAGTTTTCCAGCTTCAAATTCACGCCTGTTAATAAGCTGTAAAGTTATTAAAAACCCCAGTGAAGACCACTATCATACTATATGTCAAAAGTAAGTCGATCCCTTTGGTTTATTGCAATACTGAAGTAAAACCTTTTGCTGTTTCTTGCTATTATCTCCCTTTTATGCTATCTGTGAAACATCACACTGGTGAATGTATTATAATCAAAGAAGCCTAGGTGTTCAGCTCATTGAATTGTGTACCGAAATTATCTCTTTAGCTCATTTACTCAGCTTGGAAAAAGTAGATTTTACACTCTGACCTTAATCCCTAACAATTCTAAACTTTGAAATATAATGTCAGTCTAGCTGGATAAGAAGTAGGGTCAGTAAGTGTATGTAAAAATGTGGAACCCATTGTCAGCTAAATCAATGTCGACTTCAATAACATTTTCAAAAAAAAGGTAGAGTAGAAATGTCTAGGAATGTTGAAGGCTTCAACCAGTGCGCAAATAAAGAAATTACTTTCAGGTCAAAGGTGTCAACTATACTATAACTAATCTTTCTTGGTAGCCTTTGGTGTCCAAGAGAGTTGATACCTGTTGGGTAGCAAAATAACTGGCCAGGAAACCCCCTGTAGCCAGCCCCCACTGTCAGACACCAAGTCTTTCATCCCTACTGTTGACATTCATCTAAAAAAATTTGAAACGTTACAATGTTTGGTCTACTACAAGTTATCAAAAATGTTCAAATAAGAAAGTGGTTTTGATCGACTTTAACATTAAAAAGATCATTAGTTTGTAGATATATTTTGATTGTATGAATTGGGAAAGTGATTATATGAGGCTTTTTCAAATAAAATAAAAATTGTCTTTTTAGAAATTCAAGTTTTAAAGAAATTTAAAGATTCAAATAATATCAAACCTGTACTGTATACACATATGATAAATTATTTCAACAACAGGACATGGCACGGCTAAAACATAAGCACTTTTTGTTTCAGGATACAACTCCAATTGTACAAGCCGATCAGCAGCCTACACAGGAAAGACTAGAGAACAAAACACAAGCTCACTCTCCCCAAAATACACCAATCAATATAGCAATTACAGTCAATGTAGCCTCTCAGCAACCAAGTCCATCAAAAGATGTGCCTTTATCAGAACAAGTTGGAGAAGCCTTCACAACTTGGTTTTATAAAATGTTAAACTCTCAAAACCCAACGACACCCGATGCACCAGAGGATTTTGGTTCCCATCATTTCTGGCCAGATGTGAACTTTAAACTTTTGTGCTTGACACCACAGCCAGTGGATGAGGAATTATCGGGTGCTGACCTGACAACGCAAAGGTTATTGGCTCTTGTCAAAGAGGAACAGTTACTTTTCAATCCTAACATTAGTAAGGAAGGCCTAATGGTGAAATCCAACCCCCATGGACAACTGGTGCTAATTGTGTGTGGAACAATTCACAGGAGCCAGGACTGTTTGGGCGAGTTTGAACAACTATTTGGTTTACTTAGAGATCCTCGTTTCAATAACAATTGGAAAGTAAAATTCACAAAACTAAGGATTAAAAGTTCACAAGTAACAGCGATGCCAAAGTTGACAGATCAAGCACTGAGTGAGGTGACTGCTCTTATTCCAACGTAGTCAGATCAAGCCTTGTCACTGATGTGACCTTGAAGTTGAACTACTTTTTTGAGGTCACGCTACACTAATTTTCTGCTACTGAAATTCTGTGTTAATATCAAGAGTAAAGAAAATAATTTTCTTTCACTTTTATTGTCATGTACACTTGAAGTATAAGATGAAATCACAGTGAATAAAGTGTCTGAGGCGTTGGCCTCATCACAATTTATATGCCATCATATGTTTTTGTTTATGCACAACATATTTTGTCTTGCACTCGAACAAGGAAAAAACAGGATAAGAGAAAAATAATCTTTCACCTCCTTTAGAGTAAGATAGATGGATTTCAACCCTTGGGGGGGAAATTATTAAGCTGTCAAACACTTGGCAAGCATTGTGTTTGACAACTGAATAATCATCTCGGGTTGAGATCCCCCTATCTCACCCTAAAGGGGATGAAAGATTGTTTTAATACATATTACTTCTAACAAATAATATCTATTCAGGTAAAAGGGCATTCAGTACATATAAAGAGAAATCACAAAACATGTTGCTGATATTGTTCAATAATTAAAATAACACTTACTTTAAGCTTTAATTATTTGCAGCACATGGTAAACTGGAAAAACAACACCTCAATATCAAATGATCACATAACCATGATTATGTTGACTAGAGTACTAAATTACCAGTGAAATTTTTCAGGGTGAAAAAGTATTATGTCATGAATTGATCATCAGTATCTGACCAATGATGTGTGACAGAATGCTATATACCTAGGATTACCAATAAAACCACCAGGCCCTGGTTGTTCAAAGGCAGGTTAGAGAAAGCCAATGGTTAGTGACAAGTTTCAAAGATAGACCCAACCAACCAACCCGAAGGCTCATGGTGACCTATTGCTATGATGATTTGTCTTGTCGTGCGTTGTAAACTTTTCACATATTCGACTTCTTCTCACGAACCACAGAATGGATTTTGACCAAACTTGGCACAAAGCATCCCCATGGGAAGCCTCTTCAAGTTTGCGAAGAAAAAGGGCATGACACCAATAGGGGCCCCAGGAGGGGGGAAAAGGGGGTAAAATTAGGTAAATCTTTAAAAATCTTCTTCTCATTAACTGACAGTCAGATTAAGTTCCTATTTGATATTTAGGGTCCTTATGGCATGGTTTACAAAGTTTGCGAATGAAAAAAAAATCGGGTCAAAAACGGCCCCACTAGGGAGCGCTCAAAAGGGTCGAAAATTCAACTTTGACCGATTTCAAACAAATTTGGTAGACAGCATCCCTTAGTGAAGGACATATGAAATTATGTTGAAAAAAGTGATAATGTCCCCTTTGGGGCACATAAGGGGTGTAAAAGGGGCCATATGTAAAAACCTTCATTATATGACTACTTCTCAAGAACCAGTGGATGGATATTGACCAAACTTGGCACAAAGCATCCACATGGGAAGCCGCTTGAAGTTTGCGAAGAAAAAGGGTGTGGCCCCAATAGGGGCCCCAGGAGGGGGGAAAAGGAGAAACTTGATACGAATGTTCTACACAAGGTCCTGGCAAGTGTTTTAACTTTTTGGGGCGATTCAAAATCCAAGATGGCCATCCTGGCCTCTGTTTGGCTACATTATGGACTTCCTCTCAAGAACCATTGGGTGGGTCATGTTCAAACTTGGTGCAGATGTTTTACACATGGTCATGCACAAGTGTTGTTACATTTTGCAACATTTTAAAATCCCCAGATTATTGATATATATTCCTCAGGTGACCGTTAAGGCCCCTTGGGCCTCTTGTTATATTTTAATTTTGCCTTTAACTCTCTTGTTTTTTCAGTAACAACACTTAAAATTTTTCACTTACCACTAGTAGATTTAAACTAACCTTTGAGCAACCTGAGCAAGCGAACTTATTTCCAAAGAAGTCAAAAGTCTCCTCAAATATGTATTTCTTTGTATTAGCATAAAGCTACATGAGGATCCTTTTATCAACTGATGAAATTACTTAACCCACCCTGAAATGGACATTATTTGTTGTGTGTTTTATGGCATAAACTTCATCTTATTTCATTGAGTATAAGTCATTAAAATCACCAATTAGCAGCAGTAGTCTGTCATTTATATTGGACTGTTTCTGAGAAGCTTCTATAGGTGTGAAAAATATCTGTATATCGCGTAAATATAGATCATACAATGTATAAGTATTGTATATCAGGAATATGTAGAGTGTACACTGTATGTATCTTTGAATATTTGATCATAATATTTGGATACATCTTATTGTGTGTCTAGTTTTATAGGGATACAGAAAAAAAGGATTTTATTTCGATTAAAGTATAAATAATGTGTTTGAAGATCTGAGTGAAGAGATGACAAGTTATTGATGCAGAATAAGAAAAATTAGCATACTTGTATATGTAGTTTTCTATTCATTGCTTATTAGGAGCCGTTCTTACTTTTTCATTTGAAAATGTCTTGTTATCAAGTCACATACATTTATGAAACAAATGATTAAAACCAAAACGATCTGCATCTTTTTGGGGTTTTTGTTTACACCGGCAGTCATCTAATTGTGGCCTGTTCAAATTGCCTTTCATCCTTAGTCTATCATTTATATGCGTGTCCTTAATCTATTCAAGACATATCTATTTCTTAATATATTCAAGACATATCTATTTCTTTAGAAGGAAAGAATTAATTATTCTCATATTTCTTTTGTACATGTCCCTCAGATCAGGTCTGAAAAACAAAATTGCCAATAGGCAGCCTTTGACTTTGAAATTACAATTTGTTATAGCCTGTTTAGGTCACATGACTGTAGGTCATGATCACTTACAGCAATCATTGTTAGTCTGTCGTCCTGTGTCATGCACTGAACTTTCTTTGTGAAGATGATAATTTCAGTAAATATGAACTGATTTTGATCAAAGCCATATATTAATAAGATCTTTGAAGAGTTTGACAACAGGACCAATTTGATCAAAATTTACAGAGTTATAGCCCTTTTGCAGTGTTATTACCATTGACCTTGTGAACACAATAAGTTGAGTAAATATGAACACATTTGTATGAAACTTGGTATGCAGTCTTATAACAATAAGATCTAGGATGAGTTCAACAATGGAACCAATTTGTTGTAAGTTACAAAGTTCTGGCTTTTTGAAGTTGAAGTTGTGTTTAGTCAGGTGACCCTTAAAGCTGATGGGCCTCATGTCTGAAATAGATCTACAGCAACTTTTATGTAGACTCCACTTGGTCTTAAGCTGTGCAAAAGACAATATGGACGGTCTTGAATTTTAAGTTAAAGTTTGTTATTGCTACTTCTTTACATAGCGCATCTTTCATAAATCTGAAATGATGGTTTTGATGGTTTAACTGGATTCAGAGTTGTGCTTGACTGATTTTGGTATCTATTAGCAGAAAAAAATGGCTGTTGGTGTCCATCTTGGACATTTGCAATGAAATATACATTTTATTACCACCACTTAATAACAATTCTCATTTGTAGATTTCTGCATAACTATAAGTTTCATTTTGGAACTACGCAGAAAAAAAGAAATGGCTAACAGATAGCCATCTTTGATTTTGAAAACTTACTGACATTTGTAAGAATGCAATGAAAGGATTTTTATCATACTTAATAACTTCCCCTTATTCAACAATGTAATTACATGATTAATTCTACTGTCAATACAAAAACAAGAACCATACTGAAATAGCAAAGAAGGATGTAGAAGGGAAAATATCATTTCAAACCTTTTCTTCTTGTTCTGTTGATGAGAGCTACATTTTTGTCTGCTTTAGGTGAATAAAGGCCACGTGACAATGTTCAAATACAATGCAATTGTTGGGAGCGTTTACATCATAGGAAAGTTCCATATTGGCATGGAGAATTCCAGGTTTGTTTAAATGAATTTGATTATTTAACCCACTTTGAGGTAAAGGGGGATAAAAAATTGCATTTACATCTTAAAATGACTTCTAAACAACTGGGGCATTATCTTCGTGAATAGCAGGCTAGGGTAGAAGGCTATTGACCGTGACCCACTTTTGAGGTCACAAGTTTCAAACTTTTTAAAAGATTCAAACCACTTAAAATAATCTAGATCCCAAGAGTCATGATATTTGGTCAGTAATTTCTTTGATAAAGGACTTTCAATTTTTTTAATGAAATAATGAAATGGTATTGACCCACTTTCAATATCATGGGGTGTCATGGGGATCAAATGTTTAAAAACAAATAGCCCATAGTCAAGATAACAGGCCAGTAATGAACTCTAGATCAGATGATGTCCTTGACCTCCTGTCAGGGTCACGTGGTTAAATGTGTTTAAACTTCAAATCAGCATCGGTGCTCTGCTAGTACTTCAGTGTCGTAATACTATCACTTGGCTCATGATGTAGCTAGTGATATCGAGCATACCAAGGACATGTATTCAACCTGGCGTCAAATATTGACATAAAATTTACATTTTGCCTTTATTTGTAATATTTTCCCAATTTCTTACTTTATAATGAATCTAGTCGGTGAAAACATCAAGACAGATTGCGACTTCTGCACCACAGACAGACGTTGTACAGATTGCGACTTCTGTACCACAGACAGGCGCTGTAGCCTACATATTGCGACTTCTGTACCACAGACAGGCGCTGTACATATTGCGACTTCTGTACTTCGTTGTACAGCTTACCTATACCACAGACAGACGTTGTACAGATTGCGACTTCTATACCACAGACAGACGTTGTACAGATTGCGACTTCTATACCACAGACAGACGACTTTGTACAGATTGCGACTTCTGTACCACAGACAGACGTTGTACAGATTGCGACTTCTATACCACAGACAGACGTTGTACAGATTGCGACTTCTATACCACAGACAGACGACTTTGTACAGATTGCGACTTCTATACCACAGACAGACGACTTTGTACAGATTGCGACTTCTGTACCACAGACAGACGTTGTACAGATTATACCACAGACAGACGTTGTACAGATTGCGACTTCTATACCACAGACAGATGTTGTACAGATTGCGACTTCTGTACCACAGACAGGCGCTGTACATATTGCGACTTCTTTACCTCAGGCAGGCGTTGTACAGATTGCGACATCTGTACCACAGACAGACGACTTTGTACAGATTGCGACTTCTATACCACAGACAGACAGACAGACGTTGTACTGTTATTATTGATGTTATTACCCATTGTTTACCCCTGTCAGGATGTTGGTTCTAATAACAATTAGAATTGGTGTAGAATTTCCTGTAATATTGTTTGTTGAAATCACTCAAGATAAAACGCTAAAGATTCGTGACATGGTGGAGATAAAATGGCAGTTCTAAGATACTCATTAAATAAATCAGTCTTTCGAGGATATTACTTATCAGTCAAAACTACATGTACACAATGTTGACGATTTTACTGCAGAAAAAGACAATTTTATTTAATCCACTTAATCTAGATATTCACGACAAAAGTTCATTTTTGTAGATGTTGGACAATTTTGTGTAAACATTACTTATACATAGACATAAATGCTTATTTCGGTTGCAGCTGGTTTAACACATGTTAAGATTGATTACATGAGCTAATTCTGCATCGTAAATGTGTTGCTGATTCATATTGGAAATAGTTTTACTTTTCACAAGTTTGCGGCTGTAATTATTGCTTTAACAACAGAAAAGAGCCGTCAATAAAGCATCTTTGCCGAACGAATTTTATAAAACAGAATCACAATGCCTGCAAATGTGTGTTATTTAAAAGTTTGGTCTGTATGCAAACTGATTGTTTATGCTAACGACAGAGGGTGGCATTCCACTAAAAAGACACATAGCGTTGTTCGTTTATATTTGATTGTCGCAGCAAATTTGGTAAGAATCTTTTATATATTTTTTCTACAAAATGTGGAACTTCAGATAAAAAAAACCCACTAAGTTGCTCTTACCTTTGACCTATCGGATACAGCAAACTGTCGTGTGATGACGTATAATTGTGACCAATTACTACAACAAATATTTGATGAGATAAATTAAGCAGACGATAAACCTTTAATATCAAGAACAGATTATCATGAGTAAATCGGTACCCTCACCTGTTATCGATCCCCAACAAGTGTATATGTGAATGTTTACTTGTGACAAGATGTAGTCCATATCTTGCATTTCTACACACTGATATGATTTATTGCAGGCTAAACAATAATTTTCTGTTCTTTTCATAAACAAATAAAATAGATAAACAAACAAATAATAGATAAATAAATAAATAAAACATTGAGACAAATACTCATAGTAGTGCATGTCGTGGCAACACCGAGTCAATCAACTCCATACCTATTACATCCCAATTCTCCCTTGCTATATACATTCACTTTATGGTTTTCCCATTAACTCACTGAGTCTTGCAATATTAACAGCGGGCGTCAAGCTAAGTATATAAAAGAAGTTGAACATCTTATTTCACATTAACATATATATCTATAAGTTGAACATCTTATTTCACAATATTATTACAATATGTGTTTTATTATATGTACGTCTAGTCTCAGGGTTGACGATAAAGCCGAAATGTTGTAGCTCTAGCAAATTTACAGTTTTATATATTAAGTTGGGAAAGACCATGGGTACTCCAGTACTACGATTGGCCCTGAAGAACTGCTTGAAAATACACAGACTCGTACATCATACTATATTGAATACGAGCATTATGGTGTTAGATCGATATAATGTACGTCTACTTTTGAAAGGCAAAACAGCTGCTTTGAAGGGTTCTCCATTTCTACAAATTTTGTTTTCCCGCGCAATATCTTAAATACGAAACTACCGCACAGAAACATCCTTGTACTCTGTCCGGATGCGGAAGTGACATTTTGCTGGATATATTTAGCAACAACACACGGTGTTATATATAGAAATTTGACATTTTTTACAGCATTTTCACAGAGATACTCAACAAGGATGATAACGAATAGGTAAGAATGGACGTGAACATAACAGAAATGTATAATGGCTGTGTGATATGACACATACAGACGATATTCATGAGAAAATCAACGGAATATTGATCTCCGTGTTGTTTTTTTTAAAGTCCGAGGATTATGCAACTTCTTGAAAATATGTGTAGACTGATAACATTCTTATCATGATTGGGTGAAACCAACATAATTTGTTTACCTTTACCTGGTAGTTTTTTTCTCTGATATTGATGTCAGTAAGTCAAATTCATACAACCGCCCATAGTTACCACTACATGCATGCTCACCCGGTGTGGTGTCAGCTTGTGAGATATCGGAGGATAACGCTATTACTGGGATAATCAGCCAGGTAATGACAAACAAACAAGCAATATTCACATGTGTTAGTCCTAGTGAAGAATCACTCCTTTCGCATACACATTTGAGAGTCGCAGTAAAACCAGAATAAAAATAGAAAGAGGATAATTTTGCACAAGGTCATTATTATAATGTAGAAGTTGAGAGAACAGGTTGCCTTTTTAGCCTTAGCTAGCGGAAAGCTCCCTTTAGTTATGTGGTAAAGTGTCAGGTTAGAGGCAGAAGGGTTACTAGTTTGAGTCCCGGTATGGTGTTTTTTTGTTTTTTTTTTATATATATAAACCCTTCCTTTTAATGAAAGTATGATTCATCTCTTTCGTCTATGCTGACAAATAGCAGGGTTTTCCATAATTTTGTTAGTAGTAGGCTGTGTAGTGAAAGTAGGAGGCTTGCTTGCTGTGTAGTCGTGTAAGGAACATTATAACGGAACTGGATTGGTGTAGGCGGCCAAATGATCAAAGTAGCCGGTTAAATTGGCTGGCAACCGGCTCATATGGAAAACCCTGCAAATAGTATCAGTATATTATATCTGATGTCTCATTTTTATGAGGTAATATTGTATCAAGGTCACTATGACTGAGGTATCCTAGAATATTGTCCAAGCAAGGGATCATGATTGTGGATTACCGTTAAAAGCAACTAAAAAGACCCATTTTACATAGAAAATCTACAATAATCAGTAAATCATTTATGCTGTCTTTCAAGAATAGTCACAAAGACTTTCCATTTTGTTTTGATTTGCTTTTCTGTTTTGGTTTATTACACATGTTCTTCATGGCAATACACCCTATTACATATTTAGATTCATATGATTATCCTATTAAAATGTACTGAAAATTACATTTGTACAATATTGAATTGATGAATTACATATCGGGTCAAACAGATAATTACAGTATATATGGTAGATACAAGTAAACAGTGCTTATCTTCAGTTTTTGTTCATTGAAGATCATATTGCTGAGGAGGATATGGAAGACATGTTTGGACAATATTTCCGTGGGTATGGGTACTTGTGTGCCAGCCACCCGCTGGAGGTGATCATTGGCACATTGACCGTCACTGTGTGTGTCGTGTCCATGAGCATGTTGGCAATTGGAGACCTTCTCCATATGTCACCTCAGAACCAGGTACTTATTGTTCACTTACATATCAATATGTTGTTTAATGTCAATAAATTTTCTGTTGTAATAATTCAAAATAACAATCACCATCAATATAACTACTGTAATATTCAAATTGTTCTTGAAATCATAGCAAAAAAAACAAAATAAAAGTTATACATCATATTGATATATGTACTGATTTCTATAATGCACCAGAAATAACAATCACCATCAATAAAACTACTGTAATATTCAAATTGTTCTTGAAATCATAGCAAAAAAACTAAATGAAAGTTATAAACCATATTGATATATGTACTGATTTCTATAATGCACCAGTATCAACAAAGTAGGAAATTATTTGAAGTATGTATTTTTTAATTATGTGTTAACACACGATGATTCTTTGACATTTTGTTTTCAGGAGACAGAGAGCTTGGATATCATCATAGTATCAATAGCTAGATGTTTAGCAGTTGTCTATGTTTACCTACAGTTCCGTAGCCTCAGAAGACTGGGCTCTCATTATTTATTAGGTAAGTTAGGGATTCGGGGAATGGTGACTCCATAAGCTGGACACAATCTTCATATGACTGTCCACTGTGAAATAATACACAAAAACGGCAACCAAGCAATTATCGTCTTCCTTATACTCTATAGTCTGTATATTATAACAGTGATGATTATCATTATCATTATTTTGTCAGTGTGGGTTTTATTTGTGAAAGTTACATTATCAAATGAGAAAATTTGTGTATAACAAATTCTACCTGTTATATGGTGTAACAAATGGAATGAGTTTTAGATTAGTATTATTTTCTCTGATGAGTGCTAGCCCTGCTAGATAGAACCAAGGAAGAGAGACAAAATATTATTTTGATCAGTACTAACATCATCATGTTAATTGATACCTCTCAGCAAATCTACTCTGGTACATATAAATACAATTGTACATGTATATTACAATAATACAGGACAAATGAAAGACTTGCTGATACAGTGCAGATGAGGAACCATGAATGTACAATTATTTTGCAAGGCAGATTTTGATTTCGGAACCATACAAGTGTTACGCTTACCTGGCTCAGAGGACAAGCGAACATATGTATGCTATGGTGTATTATATATGTATTCTTCAAATTTGGTTTTACAGAGGTGATTTCAACTAAGTTTCATTTTCTGATTTATATTACAGGTGTGTCTGGAGTTTTCACACTATTCTCCAGTTTTATATTTAGTGTAGCTGTCATCAAGATATTTAAAAAGGATCTCACTGGCTTAAGGTAAGATTAAGTTTAGAGTTAACTGTATACATGTAAGTGGAGAGTAAATCATTAGAATAATTACTCTTATGAAACCTCTTTGCTGGTTATCTGCAAATAATTGGCTTTACCAGGAACTTTTGGCAGCATAGAACTCTTAATGCTCATAAACAATTCTGTTTAATGTTGCTGTTATTCACACAATTCTAAGAATACTTGAATGGTTGTTCTGAAATAAATACTTTTTATTTCAGTTTTGAAATGTTTTTTAGGAAATGACTTCTATATTAGATTTCAATTTAGCTCACCTGGTCTGAAGGATTAAACTGAGCTTATGCCATAAGGACAGGGCCCTGTCGGAAAAAAGAGAGCAAATTCTTTAAAATCCTTTTTCTATAGGAATGTTGGGATTCTGTCTGAATTTGGTCTGATAAATCCTGGCATGGAGGAAAATAATTTTGTATAAATGATGGGTCATGGTCCCTTTGGGATGGGGCTTAATATGGGAAATAGGGCAAATTTTATAAAATTATTTTTAATCCATAGGAATGACAATATTCAGTCCCATTTTGATCTGAAACATTCTTGGGCAAAGAACACTTCTATATAAATGATTTTATCCAAGGTTATTTTATTCAAATAAAGGCAGATGAGTGATACAGGTCCTGTAGAACTCTTGCTACATTGATATGCTTTATTTTCTTTAGGAAGTCTTACATATAACAGCTAATTACAATAATTAAAGAACACCTTATGGCTATTGCAGTGTGGAGTGATATGGAAGTCATTAAACATGTTCTGGATTTGCACCTCATTTTGAAGAGATTGCTGTGATTGTTTTTTCCAGTGAGGCACTGCCGTTATTCCTCCTCTTGGTTGACCTTTCTAAGGCATGTGCTTTGGCACGGTTTGCTGTTGGTTCCACTAGCCAGGAGGAGGTACAAAAGAACATTGCTACAGGCATGGCTGAACTTGGCCCATCAATAACTCTGGATGCCATTGTGGAGATGTTGGTCATAGGTGTCGGCACCTTGTCAGGTATACATATTTGGTTCTACAATAGGTCAACAAAGTCCTTTTTCTTGTTTAAGATCAGAGTCACATGGTTCCTTTCAAATTCTGTAATATCTTTGATGGTTATTGTATATGCCTTGTATTAATGGGAGAAGTCTTAGTTGTAGACCATGTAAAATCAATAAGATTGGGTGAGATCTAACAACTGTTTACAGGTCATCGTTTACATTTGTAACTGTATTCAGAGTGTTGTTCCTAGGTGAATCTAAAGCAGTTGACTTTGTTGCAGTGAAAGAAAAACTTAAAAAAGGATACCATGTGTAGATATCTTTAATGATTTTCTAAGAATTATGAGGGTCTGTTGTGATTGCAGCAGATGTCATTAATTAATTTGTTTATGTCAGTTCCTTCCAAACTGAATATGATTGTTTTTCTATGCCTAACATCACTCAGTGTTGTCTACACTTGGGCATGCCTCTAGTCAGATATTTTTCACAAAATGTTGATCATAGACTACACTTGTTGCTGTGGCATATTGGAAAACTTGTTTGATATATTGTTAATTTCTTAAAGAAATATTGTATATTGTAACATTATGTATGTTTGTCAGGAAGGCATTGTTTTAGAATGAATAATTTTACATCATTACCTATCTATCTTTTTAACAGTGCTTACCTTGATTCACATTCAAGGTCACAGGGGTCAAATTTGTCAAAATCTTCAAACAGCCATGTTTGATAACCATGATACTTTGAATTTTGTTATTTTTTAAAATATACAAAATGTCCATGTATTATGAAGAATGGATATGACACTTGGGCAGAATTTGATGAGGAATTGTTGAGAAACTAGAAAAAACACTTCCAGGAAAGTTGTCTATTTATAAGGTGCATAGGAGATGAGCAGTGCAGGCCCATTTGACCTCTTGTTTGTCTGTTGATATTGTTAAGGGTGCTTTAGTAGCTGCAATGCCTAATTTCATTTCATACAGTGGTCTTGAATGCTGCATGCATCAAGCATGGGTTTCAGCCCGTTCTCTCTTCTAACAACTCGGATTTGATCCCCAATTATCAATTGTGGGGAAAATACCGGTCGTAATGTCTGCAGGGGTTGTCATTATCTCTCTTTCAGCATGATGGCTTACCTTTGTACCACCACCACTTAATCAATATATTTATTTTCCGAGTGCCATTGCAAGAAAATAACATTTCAATGAATATAATTTATGTCAACATCTCTATATTGACAGGCGTAAAACAACTTGAAATGATGGCATACTTTGGGTGTCTGTCTGTGCTTGCTAACCTGTTGGTGTTCATGACATTCTACCCCGCTTGTCTGGCCCTTGTCCTAGATGTCACTCGTGAGAGGAACCATGGCAAGCCACTCCGACACCTACAACAACTGGCTAAGATGTTAGAGGCTGAGGAGAAGGAGAAAACCCCAAATCCAGTCACTCAGCGAGTCAAACTCATCATGGTAAATATTTCAATCTTGTCACAGAGCAAGGGTAAATATAACAACTCATCCACACTGTGATTCAAACTCATCATGATAAATATTACACCTCGGTCACAGTGTGAGGCAAACTCATCATGGTAAATATTACATCTCTGTCACACAGTGAGTCAAACTCATCATGGTAAATATTACATCTCTGTCACACAGTGAGTCAAACTCATCATGGTAAATATTACATCTCTGTCACACAGTGAGTCAAACTCATCATGGTAAATATTACATCTCTGTCACACAGTGAGTCAAACTCATCATGGTAAATATTACATCTCGGTCACACAGTGACTCAAACTCATCATGGTAAATATTACATCTCTGTCACACAGTAGTCAAACTCATCATGGTAAATATTACATCTCTGTCACACAGTGACTCAAACTCATCATGATAAATATTACACCTCGGTCACAGTGTGAGGCAAACTCATCATGGTAAATATTACATCTGTGTCACACAGTGAGTCAAACTCATCATGGTAAATATTACACCTCGGTCACAGTGTGAGTCAAACTCATCATGGTAAATATTACACCTCGGTCACAGTGTGAGTCAAACTCATCATGGTAAATATTACACCTCGGTCACAGTGTGAGTCAAACTCATCATGGTAAATATTACATCTCGGTCACACTGTGAGTCAAACTCATGGTAAATATTACATCTTGGTCACACTGTGAGTCAAACTCATCATGGTAAATATTACATCTCGGTCACACTGTGAGTCAAACTTATCATGGTGAGTATTGCAGTTAAACTGCAAAGTGAGTCAAATTCGTCATGGTAAATTTTACTTTTCAGTCAGACAATGAGTCCAGCTCATCATGGTAATTAGTACATCTAGTTCACACAGTGAGTCAAACTTGACATGGTAACTTTTACTACTACTCAGTTGCACAATTAGTTGATTGCATCATAATAATTTCAATGCAGCCGCACAGTGGGTCAAACTCATTGTTGTAAATATTCTAACCTAGTCACATAGATAGTCAAACATATCACAGCAGTATAAGCCCAGTTGAGATTATCTGCAATATTTTTAAACCTAATTGAAATTAACTACATGAGGGGTGTGCATTAGTAATCCCAGATGATATTTTCTGAGGAAAGGAAATACTTGTTTTTCTTGCACAGTCTGCTGGCCTTGTGATGGTTCACATACATAGTCGTTTAGGCAAAGAGGCAAGCAAAGCAGAAAGTTTGGGAGACATGATCACAACCAGTACCATGTCTGATAACAAGGAACTGACTCCTGAACTCGACTTTTGGCAATATCACATACAAAGGTAAGTAAACCTTATCCTACTTGGTCATCTAGAAAGTTGGAATTATATCTGTATTTAATGATTTATGAGGGAGATATTTGATTGAATATAACATTTGTAAAATACTAGCCGCAATATACCACTCGGCTAGTTAGAACTTCTCTTTAGCTCGATTGGTTGAGGGTCAGACTAGTAAGTCAGGGGTCCTGGATTCTAATCCTAATGCCTTAATGAAGGCATTGAAATAAATAATGATCTTTGTTAAATTTGTGCCAATGTAGGTGTTATGTCCGGATAGCTAGTCCGTACTTTAGTGTGTGCCATGATTGTTAGTGTGTTGATATGTGACCTGAATAAAGCCTCGTTCTGGATATACTGTACACATGGTGTTGTTGTGGTTTGTGGTGGCTGTGTTCTCACCCCCCATATGTAACAGTAGGGACTTGGGAAAAGTGTATAGTGTTACTTTCACAAGCATTGCCGTAACACCTGGAAACTCCAAGATGAGTTATTCCCTGGAGGGGGAGTATGTAACCCTCGTAAAATACTAGCAGCAGTATACCACTTAGCTAGAGAGAACTTCTCTTTAGCTTGATTGGTTGAGTGTGACAGATAAAGAAAGATCTGCCATTAGATAGTGAAAGCAATAAATTAGAGACGGGACATTATGTTGGTGTTCTCACTGTAGAATGCATCATAACCATCAGGAATTATTTCACTACAAGTACAATTTTGTTTCAAGTGATTGATTTTCTTGGGCTTTTTCAGTCAGATATTGATTGTGACTTCATAATATAGATATTTTAGGTTATGTCTCAAATTGAAATTAGCACCAAAAAAAATGATGCCTCTGTTCGACTTTGTCATCTACTTTTATCTTCAAAAACCTTTCAAAATCTTTTCGGAGTTATGTGAAAAGAAGTATCTTAAATTTGTTTACAATTCATATAAGATTTTGTGAAACTTGTCTGGAAGTTTTGATTTTTGCTTGCCAAGGCTCAATTAAATAAATACATAGAAGATTTGTGTCCTGAAATTTCATAGGAAAACTTATTTTTTAAAAAATTCTTAAGATCATATATGTATTACAGGTACACACACACACATATATATATATTGTCTTCAAATAAACTCTAATTATCAGTCTGGTATTTTGTTAAAATACACATAGTTATTTGTGATTCAGTATACCAAGTAGCTAACAGTTTGGCTCTTAATGTAGAAACACAAACTCTAAAGATAGCTTAGAAAATATTTTTTGTTTACATACAAGTTAGTGTTAAATTGATAAATTCACATCTCTTTCTCGATTGGAACACATTAACTCACAACTCGGAGCTCAGTGTTCGTAAATGAGTTTAAATGTGATTATCTATATAATCTCTGTAAGATGTCTCTGAAATGGCTGATTCTGATAAAGGAATTGTATCAATACAGAAATTTTATATCAATGAATATTGGTTTGGTATTGAATATAAATATACTATTTGTGTGTAATCTTGCAGACAATTAACAGTGAATGCAGACCTAATGGTAATGCTGGTGCTGGCTATCTTCCTCACTGTAAAATATATGTTCTTTGATGATGATGTGGATGTGCCAAGCAGACTATGTCCATCTTGTAAACGTTCAGGGGCAAGACTCCGTCAGATTTCCAGTTCCATTGACTTACCAGGTATATAATAATTCCTCTTGGCCATATACTGTTTCAGACTGTAGACTGAGGTTTTTAACCCCAAAAATCCACTAGGTTGAGATTTACCAAGGTTGGATTGCATATCTGTTCAGTATAAAGCTAACTTAATTCCTTGGTTTGTCTTTATCATTACAAATTTGCAGACTTTCCAGATTATACTTGTACAAGACATTCGGTATCATGTAAGCAATCTCTACCAAGGATCATTTTAGAAATTTGTTTTCCACGTTTATAAACAATGTCTCCAGATGTTTGCATGTATAAATGAATGGAACAAGCCAATAAATGCTGAGACATGTTGTCTGCACAACATTTTACAATCATGGTAATTTAAGGGAACTGATGTTCTCTAATTCTCAGCTCCAGAAGTGTCTTCAGAACCTGTTGTGGAAACTACAAATATTTCTCAGAAAAAGACAACATTTACTATTGGTGAAGATGAGAGTTCAGACGAGGAAACTGAGACGATGGACAGTAAAGAGACTCAGACGGACCTATTGGAATTTGGTTACCGTCCCTTGGAAAGGCTACCCTCTATACAGCCGCCACGTCCAGTTGCTGAATGTTTGGACATTCTCAAGTCTGATGTATGTAAAAACTGTTTGATTAAAAAGGAAACTTGTTTTCACAGACATGTAATCTTATAGAAAGGACTTTTTTTTAAAGATTCTGTTGAAATCTGACACTGGATATTTGAAACTAATATCCATACAATATTTGATCTGTATCCAGTGTTTATTATGATACTATGTTACCGATTCAAAAAGTTAGAAAAAGAAAATGAGGAAGTCTTTTATTCTCTGAGAAACAAAAAAAAATTGTCCAGTGTTAGACTTTTTCTGGTGATGATTTTCTGAAAGGTTTCATCTTAAAAAGTTGATAAAAAGTAAAATAATTGACGTTTACCTCACCACTTTTTTTGCAGTAGGGGGATCAGAATATGTGTAACCGGAAGTCATACATTTTCATATATTTTGAGTTAATTTCTGAAAAAATAAACATTCTGTTATGTTCACAACAACACTTTTAAACATTAGTATTTGTTTTTTATTACAGGGTGAATGTATAATACTTGCACATTAAGAAAAAAATTATGTGAAAATGCGATGTTTTCATTTGATTTCTGGGGGATTAAACTACATATCAACCAAAAAAATCCAAAGTCAAGCAAAAACCTGAAATTATATTTTTGGGGTCCAATAAATGTGGTAATATGTTCTACCAAGTAGGAAGTTATGAATTTGAAATCTGTGATTTGGCGTGATAATTCATGCAATATGTAGTTGAAATTTTCCCCAAGACTTGCAGAATTATACTCAAGAGAAGTACCTTATCAACCAGGAAATGTTGGAGTTCTTGACACCATTAATCAAACCATGCCATCAGTTATGCCATCAAAAAAGTACCACAAGTGATATTCAAAACATCATAAAAATTGCCATTTTTATATTTATAAGTTCGACCATCAATAACAAAGTTTTTAAGAAAACAAAAGTTCAAGATATTATGATGGAATTAATTTTATATTGAATTATGTCTTACTTCCAGTCAAATGGCAAGAGAGTACATCCTTAAATAGTATTCTTTAACTTATTATGAGTATCATCATTATTTGTGTTAAATACTCCTTGTTTTGCCCATGCCATAGTTGTAAGTAAGGATATCTTGCTTGCATAGCAGAAAACAGATCTTAATCTACACCATACATAGATTGGTGAGAAGGGTAAAGACTAGCGAGTGTTAGTATCTCTCTATACTGCAGTTCAAAGCATGCTTGTTTTTAAATGCCAAAAGGTAGTATTAAATAGTTACAAGATTTTAGGTCATCTGACTGAAGGGTCTGATGACCTATTGCGATCGCCATTTGTCCGGTGGCATCCGTCGTACGTCATCCGTTGTAAACATTTTCAACTTCTTCCCAAGTTTTACATGTCTCATTGAGCTGAAACTTACCTGAAATGATCTTGACATGATCCTGACCAAAGTGTGTTAATTTCAGATTGGTTCGAAATCAAACATGGCCGCCATCTTTAAAACACATTTTCAACTTCTTCTCAAGTACAAAAATTTGAAATCTTGTACTTTATGTCAGATGACTGTTAAGGCCCATGGGTCTTTTGTAATAAATTTCTATTACTATGAAATTCATGTCATGAAATAAATTTATGAATTATGGTAATGTGATGTTCATGTAATCTATTCTTCATAGGATGGTTCAAGTGCACTTACAGATGAAGAAATTTGTCTCCTTGTTGAGGAAAAACACATACCCAGTTACAGGCTAGAGACTGTTCTTGGAGACTACGAGAGGGGAGTTAGTATAAGGTCAGTCTGTCATTGTACTGACAGCTATGGTCACTACTATTCTAACTGTTAAAATGATTAGGTTAATGATGAATACAATATTTTTAATGTAAAAGCTTTAATTAGATCTATTCTAGGTACAAAATATTTGACTCCTTCATTAACCTTTGACTGAAATCTTACTTCACTATTGTGTGTTTTTCAGGAGAGGAATGGTATCAACACATATACAAAGCAATGAAGCAATGAAAAACTTACCATATAGAAATTATCATTATGATTTGGTAGGTAAAATTGTACAGAACAATTATCAATATGACTTGTAAAACACAAAAAATCATATCACTATATTGTAAAGTTAAAAGTTTGAAAAGTTTAAAACATACACAAGTACAGGAGATTGCTGAAGTTGTTCCACAGGTGTCCAAATGTTATCTCTAAAAAGAAAGTCAGAATTTGATTCAAGTGATAAGAAAACATACCGTATTTCACCGCAAATAAGCCCCCTCCCGCAAATAAGCCCCCCCACCACTTTTTCGTCTTTGCTAATACCTTACCCTTGACAAGTAATATCTGAATTACAGGTGAATGGAGCATGTTGTGAAAATGTTATTGGGTACATGCCAATCCCAGTAGGCGTGGCAGGCCCTCTCCTCCTGGATGACAAATATTATCATGTCCCCATGGCAACAACAGAGGGCTGTCTAGTGGCCAGTACTAACAGAGGCTGTAGAGCATTAGCAGTGAGTACACCGTTCCTATACCCTTTAACAACATATCACCACTATTAGACATGTGTGAACAGTTCGTACACTAGTATTGGTCGTATAAATACTGTTTGTGTTGTAACATGCTTTAAAGTTATAGACATGTAATTAAATATTTATTGTTTGCTGTTTCCAGCAAAGTGGTGGTGTCAAGTGCTGTTTGGTGGGAGATGGAATGTCACGGGCTCCTGTTGTTAGGTTCCCATCCATTAGGAAGGCCAGGTAAGGCTGTGTTTGAGCTCTAGGAGATGGAATGTCACGGGCTCCTGTTGTTATGTTCCCATCCATAAGTAAGGCCAGGTAAGGCTGTGTTTGAGCTGTAGGAGATGGAATGTCACGGGCTCCTGTTGTTAGGTTCCCATCCATAAGGAAGGCCAGGTAAGGCTGTGTTTGAGCTCTAGGAGATGGAATGTCACAAGCTCCTGTTGTTAGGTTCCCATCCATTAGGAAGGCAAGGTAAGGCTGTGTTTGAGCTGTAGAAGATGGAATGTCACAAGCTCCTGTTGTTAGGTTCCCATCCATTAGGAAGGCAAGGTAAGGCTGTGTTTGTGCTGTAGGAGATGGAATGTCACGGGCTCCTGTTGTTAGGTTCCCATCCATTAGGAAGGCAAGGTAAGGCTGTGTTTGAGCTGTAGAAGATGGAATGTCACAAGCTCCTGTTGTTAGGTTCCCATCCATTAGGAAGGCAAGGTAAGGCTGTGTTTGAGGTGTAGGAGATGGAATTCACGGGCTCCTGTTGTTAGGTTCCCATCCATTAGGAAGGCAAGGTAAGGCTGTGTTTGAGGTGTAGGAGATGGAATGTCACATGCTGCTGTTGTTAGGTTCCCATCCATTAAGAAGGCCAGGTAAGGCTGTGTTTGAGCTGTAGGAGATGGAATGTCACATGCTGCTGTTGTTAGGTTCCCATCCATTAAGAAGGCCAGGTAAGGCTGTGTTTGTGCTGTAGGAGATGGAATGTCACAAGCTCCTGTTGTTAGGTTCCCATCCATTAGGAAGGCCAGGTAAGGCTGTGTTTGAGCTGTAGGAGATGGAATGTCACATGCTGCTGTTGTTAGGTTCCCATCCATTAAGAAGGCCAGGTAAGGCTGTGTTTGAGGTGTAGAAGATGGAATGTCACGGGCTCCTGTTGTTAGGTTCCCATCCATTAAGAAGGCCAGGTAAGGCTGTGTTTGAGGTGTAGAAGATGGAATGTCACGGGCTCCTGTTGTTAGGTTCCCATCCATAAGTAAGGCCAGGTAAGGCTGTGTTTGAGGTGTAGAAGATGGAATGTCACGGGCTCCTGTTGTTAGGTTCCCATCCATAAGGAAGGCCAGGTAAGGCTGTGTTTGAGCTCTAGGAGATGGAATGTCACGGGCTCCTGTTGTTAGGTTCCCATCCATAAGGAAGGCCAGGTAAGGTAGGTTCCCATCCATTGATGACCCAGTTATGATAAGGATTCGAGGTTATGTGATCCTACTTAATGAGCTATCCTTATCAGCAACAGCGTTTTTATATTTCATATTCATTGTTTGAGAATTGTAAAACAGAAATGAATTGGAACATGTATTTTGAAAATACATCATGCACCGACCTTAATTCGTCAAAAACTGAAATGGATGTTCTTTACGAGGTTGAGATGGGAGTGAATGAAAGGGGTTTAGAAATTTACACTAGGCCTAACTCAGACCATACAGTGAATAGTACAAGAGCCCTAATTTGTCATGTTTAACTTTGGGAAGATAGCTCAAATTTCAGCAATGAATTGTACAAGACACTTTAAGTGAATAGCGTCTTAAAGTAGAATTGACAATTAGCGAGATATTGATTTAAACTGCAACCTCCAGATATTTCGCCTTTCAAAGACCTGTCAGTGATGCTGGAGGTCTAGAGAGTGTATAGATTAATATTGAGAATTATCTGAATGTTACTTGGAAAAATGTTTCATTAAAAATTATTAATTTTTTTGTGAAATGTGTAGATTTATGATCTATATTACAGTGAGCTGAAGCTTTGGCTTGAAAATGTTGACAACTTTGAGAAAGTGAAGGAGACTTTTGATGATACAAGCAGGTAATACTGATTTTATGGCAAACATGCAGTGTGATTTTTCTGTCTTATAGTCAATTATTATGATTCTTTGAAGATTTCTGGCAATCTATATCTTTTTAGGTCATCTGGACCCGAAGGGTCCGATGACCTATAGTCATCATGCTTCGTCCGTCGTCGTCCGCCGTGCGCCGTGCGCCGTGCGCCGTCCGCCGTGCGCCGTGCGCCGTCCGTAAACTTTTCATTCAAACGACTTCTTCTCAAATACTAGAAGGTCTAGGGGGCTAATACTTGGCACAGAGGATACTGGCATGGAGCTCTACCAAGTTTGTTCAAATGAATGACCTTGACCCACTTTAAAGGTCACAGGGGTCAAATATGTTAAAATCTTTAAACAACTTCTTCTCATTAACCAAAAGGCTCAGAGTGTAGATATTGGGCCTGTGACATGCTGGGATGAAGGACTACCAAGTTTGTTCAAATGAATGACCTTGACCCACTTTAAAGGTCACAGGGGTCAAATATGTTAAAATCTTTAAACAACTTCTTCTCATTAACCAAAAGGCTCAGAGTGTAGATATTGGGCCTGTGACATGCTGGGATGAAGGACTACCAAGTTTGTTCAAATGAATGACCTTGAACCACTTTAAAGGTCACAGGGGTCAAATATGTTAAAATATTTAAACAACTTCTTCTCAATAACCAAAAGGCTCAGATTGCTGATATTGTGCCTGTGGCATGCTGGGATGAAGGGCTATCAAGTTTGTTTAAATGAATGACCTTGAACAACTTTCAAGGTCACAGGGGTCAAATATGTCAAAATCTTTAAATAACTTCTTCTCAAATACTAGAAGGCCTAGGGGGCTAATACTTGGCCCATAGCATGCTGGCATGGAGCCCTACAATGTTTGTTCAAATGAATGACCTTGGCCCACTTTCAAGGTCACAGGGGTCAAATATGTTAAAATATACAAAGGACTTCATCTCAATAAGCAAAAGTCTATGAGTGCCAATATTGGGTCTGTAGCATGCTGGGAGGAAAGGCTACCAAGTTTATTTAAATGAATGACCTTGAACAACTTTCAAGGTCGCAGGGGTCAAATATGTCAAAATCTTTAAATAACTTCTTCTCAAATACTAGAAGGCCTAGGGGGCTAATACTTGGCCCATAGCATGCTGGCATGGAGCCCTACAAAGTTTGTTCAAATGAATGACCTAGGCCCACTTTCAAGGTCACAGGGGTCAAATATGTTAAAATATACAAAGGACTTCATCTCAATAAGCAAAAGTCTATGAGTGCCGATATTGGGTCTGTAGCATGCTGGGAGGAAAGGCTACCAAGTTTATTCAAATGAATAACCTCAACCCACTTTCAAGGTCACAGGGGTCAAATATGTTAAAATCTTTAAACAACTTCTTCTCATTAACCAAAAGGCTCAGAGTGTAGATATTGGGCCTGTGACATGCTGGGATGAAGGACTACCAAGTTTGTTCAAATGAATGACCTTGAACCACTTTAAAGGTCACAGGGGTCAAATATGTTAAAATCTTTAAACAACTTCTTCTCAATAACCAAAAGGCTCAGATTGCTGATATTGTGCCTGTGGCATGCTGGGATGAAGGGCTATCAAGTTTGTTTAAATGAATGACCTTGAACAACTTTCAAGGTCACAGGGGTCAAATATGTCAAAATCTTTAAATAACTTCTTCTCAAATACTAGAAGGCCTAGGGGGCTAATACTTGGCCCATAGCATGCTGGCATGGAGCCCTACAAAGTTTGTTCAAATGAATGACCTTGGCCCACTTTCAAGGTCACAGGGGTCAAATATGTTAAAATATACAAAGGACTTCATCTCAATAAGCAAAAGTCTATGAGTGCCAATATTGGGTCTGTAGCATGCTGGGAGGAAAGGCTACCAAGTTTATTTAAATGAATGACCTTGAACAACTTTCAAGGTCGCAGGGGTCAAATATGTCAAAATCTTTAAATAACTTCTTCTCAAATACTAGAAGGCCTAGGGGGCTAATACTTGGCCCATAGCATGCTGGCATGGAGCCCTACAAAGTTTGTTCAAATGAATGACCTTGGCCCACTTTCAAGGTCACAGGGGTCAAATATGTTAAAATATACAAAGGACTTCATCTCAATAAGCAAAAGTCTATGAGTGCCGATATTGGGTCTGTAGCATGCTGGGAGGAAAGGCTACCAAGTTTATTCAAATGAATAACCTCAACCCACTTTCAAGGTCACAGGGGTCAAATATGTTAAAATCTTTAAACAACTTCTTCTCATTAACCAAAAGGCTCAGAGTGTAGATATTGGGCCTGTGACATGCTGGGATGAAGGACTACCAAGTTTGTTCAAATGAATGACCTTGAACCACTTTAAAGGTCACAGGGGTCAAATATGTTAAAATCTTTAAACAACTTCTTCTCAATAACCAAAAGGCTCAGATTGCTGATATTGTGCCTGTGGCATGCTGGGATGAAGGGCTATCAAGTTTGTTTAAATGAATGACCTTGAACAACTTTCAAGGTCACAGGGGTCAAATATGTTAAAATCTTTAAACAACTTCTTCTCATTAACCAAAAGGCTCAGAGTGTAGATATTGGGCCTGTGACATGCTGGGATGAAGGACTACCAAGTTTGTTCAAATGAATGACCTTGAACCACTTTAAAGGTCACAGGGGTCAAATATGTTAAAATCTTTAAACAACTTCTTCTCAATAACCAAAAGGCTCAAGATTGCTGATATTGTGCCTGTGGCATGCTGGGATGAAGGGCTATCAAGTTTGTTTAAATGAATGACCTTGAACAACTTTCAAGGTCACAGGGGTCAAATATGTCAAAATCTTTAAATAACTTCTTCTCAAATACTAGAAGGCCTAGGGGGCTAATACTTGGCCCATAGCATGCTGGCATGGAGCCCTACAAAGTTTGTTCAAATGAATGACCTTGGCCCACTTTCAAGGTCACAGGGGTCAAATATGTTAAAATATACAAAGGACTTCATCTCAATAAGCAAAAGTCTATGAGTGCCGATATTGGGTCTGTAGCATGCTGGGAGGAAAGGCTACCAAGTTTATTCAAATGAATAACCTCAACCCACTTTCAAGGTCACAGGGGTCAAATATGTTAAAATCTTTAAACAACTTCTTCTCAATAACCAAAAGGCTCAGATTGCTGATATTGTGCCTGTGGCATGCTGGGATGAAGGGCTATCAAGTTTGTTTAAATGAATGACCTTGAACAACTTTCAAGGTCACAGGGGTCAAATATGTCAAAATCTTTAAATAACTTCTTCTCAAATACTAGAAGGCCTAGGGGGCTAATACTTGGCCCATAGCATGCTGGCATGGAGCCCTACAAAGTTTGTTCAAATGAATGACCTTGGCCTACATTCAAAATACTAGAAGGCCTAGGGGGCTAATACTTGGCCCATAGCATGCTGGCATGGAGCCCTACAAAGTTTGTTCAAATGAATGACCTTGGCCCACTTTCAAGGTCACAGGGGTCAAATATGTTAAAATATACAAAGGACTTCATCTCAATAAGCAAAAGTCTATGAGTGCCGATATTGGGTCTGTAGCATGCTGGGAGGAAAGGCTACCAAGTTTATTCAAATGAATAACCTCAACCCACTTTCAAGGTCACAGGGGTCAAATATGTTAAAATCTTTAAACAACTTCTTCTCAATAACCAAAAGGCTCAGATTGCTGATATTGTGCCTGTGGCATGCTGGGATGAAGGGCTATCAAGTTTGTTTAAATGAATGACCTTGAACAACTTTCAAGGTCACAGGGGTCAAATATGTCAAAATCTTTAAATAACTTCTTCTCAAATACTAGAAGGCCTAGGGGGCTAATACTTGGCCCATAGCATGCTGGCATGGAGCCCTACAAAGTTTGTTCAAATGAATGACCTTGGCCCACTTTCAAGGTCACAGGGGTCAAATATGTTAAAATCTTTAAACAACTTCTTCTCAATAAGCAAAAGTCTATGAGTGCCGATATTGGGTCTGTAGCATGCTGGGAGGAAAGGCTACCAAGTTTATTTAAATGAATGACCTTGAACAACTTTCAAGGTCGCAGGGGTCAAATATGTCAAAATCTTTAAATAACTTCTTCTCAAATACTAGAAGGCCTAGGGGGCTAATACTTGGCCCATAGCATGCTGGCATGGAGCCCTACAAAGTTTGTTCAAATGAATGACCTTGGCCCACTTTCAAGGTCACAGGGGTCAAATATGTTAAAATATACAAAGGACTTCATCTCAATAAGCAAAAGTCTATGAGTGCCGATATTGGGTCTGTAGCATGCTGGGAGGAAAGGCTACCAAGTTTATTCAAATGAATAACCTCAACCCACTTTCAAGGTCACAGGGGTCAAATATGTTAAAATCTTTAAACAACTTCTTCTCAATAACCAAAAGGCTCAGATTGCTGATATTGTGCCTGTGGCATGCTGGGATGAAGGGCTATCAAGTTTGTTTAAATGAATGACCTTGAACAACTTTCAAGGTCACAGGGGTCAAATATGTCAAAATCTTTAAATAACTTCTTCTCAAATACTAGAAGGCCTAGGGGGCTAATACTTGGCCCATAGCATGCTGGCATGGAGCCCTACAAAGTTTGTTCAAATGAATGACCTTGGCCTAC